AAATGCAAGGTCGAGTGCAATTTCCTGTAAACAACTGTTTAGACAACGATAACTGCACTTCAAACTGTGCAACTGCTCAAAACAAGACAAGAATAGTGTTAGGTAAAGTGGAACAAATACCTTCTTCCTTTTAGTGGTTGATTAATATAGAGCAAAGCAGCATGGGGGGAGGGGGAGGTATAGTGGGAATCTGTCCAGTAGTTCGACTGTCATTCAATCACAGGATGGCGTACATTCATAAAGTCACAGAGATATACATCCATGTTTCAAGTTTCTGTTATCAGTGTGATACACAGGCCAATTCTTGACCCCAAGACCTTTGGGCATATTGGGCAGGATATCCCAGAAGGTAGTGGGATCAGGACTGTGGCATTTGATTCCTTTTCTTTTCTTCACTGCTGCCATTTTGCTTCATGGCTTTGGGGCTTTAAAGTGTGATACTCAAATTATTGTGAATTTAAATGATTGATTATTTTGACTGAATCAACATCACCAACATCCAAGGAGAGCTTTGAAATATCTTCAGTGTTTTTTGTCCAAATGTGAAACTGTAGAGTTACAGGAGTAATTTCTGAAGAACACGGTAATGTCAGAATTACATGATTTAATAGAAAAAGCTGGAAGGGCATTGAAGCTTTAACTTGTGTGAACAGAGTCTGTGCATGCATCAAGTTGTATATAAAAAGGAACTTCCTGGCAGTATTACTTTGGGAGATTAAACAGTATACAGACCGCACCTTCTAAAACTCTGGGCTGAAATGAGAATGAACTGCTTTGAAACCCAGGGATTTGCAAGGAAGGGTGAAAGTTTTGAATGGAAGGAATTTGATAGCTTGTGAACCCTCTTTGGGTATCTGTGGGATCCAGTAACATAAAGAACTAGGGGCAAGGGGTTGTTTATAAATGAAGCTGATTGATAATTGGTTCCTAGTCCACAAACCAATAATAAAAGTCCTTTGCCAACAAGGTGATTGGTTGTCAGGTATCTGAACAGCTTGGGCTGTGAATAAGACAGAGAGAAGCTTCATTAGACCAGAAGAGAAAACAGCAAGTCTGCAAGAGCCGGAGGTCTGCAAGAGCCGGAGATTTCTCTCTCTCTCTGTTCTCTGCAGTAAGCCACTTTAAATCCAAAGAAACCAGCTCATCTTTCCTTAGCAGATACTATAAGTTGTGACTTTGAATTAGATGGCAATTTTTCTAAGTCAAGCAGTCACCCTGTCCTTCTTGCAGATTAGCGGAAACATTCAGAAAAAGGTCAAAGAGAAACCGTGAGATCAGCAAGAACTAGTAAAGACTTCAATAAAACCTTTGACAAGGTCCCTCATGGTACAAAGGTGAAGTTACATGGTATCAGGGTAAGGTAGCAAGATGGATACAGAACTGGTTTAGTCATAGGAGACAGAGGATGGCAGTGGAAAGATGCTATTTGGAATGGAAGGCTATGAACAGTGGTGCTCCGCGGGGATCAGTGCTGGGACCTCTGCTGTTCGTGGTCTACAGAAATGATTTGGAGGAAAATGTAGCTGGTCTGATTAGTAAGTTTGCAGACGATACAAAGATTGGACGAATTACGGATAGTGAGGAGGATTGTCAGAGGATATAGCAGGATATAGGTCAGTTGGAGGCATGAGCAGAAAAATGGCAGATGGAGTTCAATCCAGAAAAATGTAAAATGATGCATTTTGAAAGGTCAAGTACAGGTGGAAATTATACAGTGAATTGCAGAACCCTTAGGGGCATTGATATGCAAAGGGATTTAGGTGTCCAGGTCCACAGATCACTGAAGGCAGTAATGCAGATAGATAAAGTAGATAAAGTGTTTGCCTTCATTAGAAGGGGCATTGAGTATAAGGATAGGCAAGTCATGCTGCAACTTTATGGAACTTTAGTTAGGCCACACTTGGAACATTGCGTACAGCTCTGGTCACACACTGCCAGAAGGATGTGGATGCTTTGGAGAGGGTACAAAAAAGGTTTACCAGGATGCTGTCTGGAATGGGGGTTTTAGCTATGAAGAAAGGTTGGATAGACTGGGAGATAGCAAGAGCTGCAGATGTTGGAGTCAGAGACAACACAGCGTGGAGCTGGAGGAAGACAGCAGACCAGGCAGCATTAGAGGAGCATGAAAGTTGATGTTTCGAGTCAGGACCCTTCTTCAGAAATGGGGAAGGGAAAGGGTGCTCTGGAATGCAGGAGGTTGAGGATTGACTTGAAACTAGTTTATAAAGTTGTGAATGGCATGGATAGAATAGAAAGCTTGAGGCTTTTTCCCTAGGATGGAGCAGTCAATTACTAGGGGACACAGGTTATTCAAGAAACACCTGGCCAAATACATGAATAGGAACGGAATAGAGGGATACAGGTCCTGTAAAGTGAAGACCGTTTTAGTTTGGGTGTGAAAAATGTGTTGGTGCAGGCTTGCATGGCCAAAGGGCCTGTTCCTGTGCTGTATTGTTCTTTGTTCTTGAACAACCGAAAGATCCTCTAAACAAAGGCTATGGAATTGTTTTCCCTGTTTTCTCTCTGCCCACTTGATTTTTTTTGGGCCTCTTTTTCTTCCTGTGCCTTGAGATGGCAGTTCAATGGGATTGAGAGTGTTTGCTTGATTTAATTCAATGGTTTAATTGCAGCTAGAATCTAAACACTAGTAATAGTGATTCTTGTTAAGTACAGAAACCTAGTCTATGCTTTCTATCAATCTGGGTCTGAAATCAGGCAGTTTGGGGATTTTGGATATTTCTTTTAAAGACTGGAAACTTTTGTGTTGATTCTGGGAATAGCAGGGCTTGCTTTCAAGCACATTATTCCAGTGGCGTGATTTTTATAGTTCAAACTTACAACAAAACATGGTTGCTGTAAAGGCAAAACAGTTGCCAAATCAGCATCCTAAAGTGAACCCACATGGTCAAGATGGAAAGAGAAAATATTTCCATCATGAAGACATTTGCAAGCACAGCAGGTAGCTGGAGGACAGACTCAGAGCAGCAACGACTAACCCGATGCACCAGGTGATGCATGGACACAAACCTGCTTCTCCAAGAACCATAGATAGCAGGAACTGCAGATGCTGGAGAATCCGAGACAACGAGGTGCAGAGCTGGATGAACGCAGCAGGCCAAGCAGCATCATAGAAGCAGAAAGGCTGACGTTTCGGGCCTAGACCCTTCATCAGAAATGGGGGAGGGGAAGGGGGTTCTGAAATAAATAGGGAGAGAGGGGGAGGCAGATAGAAGATGGATAGAGGAGAAGATAGGTGGAGGGGAAACAGACAGGTCGAAGAGGCGGGGATGGAGCCAGTAAAGGTGAGTGTAGGTGGGGAGTTAGGGAGGGGATAGGTCAGTCCAGGGAGGACGGACAGGTCAAGGGG